ATGTACCTGATGACCTGCACTCGTCCTGACCTGCACTCGTCCTGACCTTGCGTACCCTCTTGGCCTTTTGGCTCGTTACGTGGCTCCTGGTTGGCACCGAAAGGTGCACATGGATGTTGCTAAGAGGGTACTGCGCTACTTGTGCAGTACATCGGGCATGGGGCTCGTGCTTGGAGGGTGGAGTCCACTTGTCCTCACTGGGCACTCAGACGCTTCTTGGGTTGACGACCAAGCTACACAGCGGTCGTCACAGGGTTACACGTTCAGCCTTGGCTCTGGCTCTGTTTCTTGGTGGTCTAGATGCTCGTCTTCTGTTCTCAGCTCCAGTTGTGAGGCTGAGATCTACACCACAGCCATGGCTGCACAGGAGTTATGCTGGCTCACCTACCTGCTGACCGACCTGGGAGAGCAGCCTCGTTCTCCTCCAGTTCTGTACGTAGACAACAAGGCCGCCATTGCCTTGTGTCAGGAGCACAGACTGGAGCACAGAACGAAGCACATCGCTCCGAGTTACTTCCTGGCTCGAGAGCTGCAGCAGCGGGGTTAGCTTCGCCTTGCTCATGTGGCCACTCGGGCCAACACTACTGATATATTCACCAAGGCACTTCCGTCTGGTGACCATTAGCGCTTTTGTTCTTTGTTGGGCCTTGTGCCTACGTTTCCACACTTGCTGTAGTCTCTACTTGTACTGTAATATACATATATACATATATATATGTACACCTGCATGCTTGCTCTTGCTAGGTAGAGATCACTGTGCTGTTCTTGTTGCTTATATACCTCTGCATGGAGACTGGCCTTGTGGCCGTTGCTTGTGCTCAGTGTGTGTAGTGATGTTGTGATCCACCCTGAGGTGTGTTTTGTTTCTTCTCTTGACCGGTCTTGTGACCGTTGCTTGCTCTGGCTATCCTCCATTTCACCTATGAGGGTGTGTCAAAACATATGCATATCATTATCTAGGCTATATTGGGGATAGCCTTAGGGGGTACAGAACCTTTCTTGACACTCTAGTCTTGTACCCAAACCTTGACCTAATCTCATCATCCTTGCCTTAGTTCTTTACACTCAGTACTACAGTGAGTCCCTCATGGAATATGATGTGCTGCTACGCAATATGACACCTGCGGAGCAACTCGGCATTCGCTCCTACAAAGAGAGTGCCGCTCCAGCCTTCGAACCCTGGAAGCTCCTGGTTGAGGTATATCAGCCGAAGGACTCAGTCACCTCCAACAGGCTCCTAGAGCAACTCATGGAGACCGAGATGGGGCACGGGGAGAAAGCGAATAGATATATTAATCGATGTCGGAACATTCGTGACCAAATCACGAAACATAGAAGCGCGGCTTCAGAGAAGATTTTCGTCAACATCGCTCTCCAAGGACTTGGGCCTTAGTGGAAGCCCTGCAAAGCGCTACTCTGACAAAGAGGAATTATATAGAAGCCGGCTATTTGCCGCACTCCTGACAGAACAGCAGGATATGGACTCGAGCAGGAGAAGCTCGACGCCACGCCGAGAGTGCCTCGCCTTCTACGCCGACAATCGTGAAGAGCGATGACAACCAAGGCGCCACTATTGCAAAATTTGCAAGGTCTTCGGACATTCAACATATCGATGCAAATCCCGGTCCAATTATCACTCACCACAACAACTTGGTCGGCCGACAAGTCGCTTGTCACTTCCAGCCTCAACATCAAGCTTATCGCCCTCCTGCACAGCAACAACACCAACAGCAGACACAAGCATCCCAAGTGGGAGCTACCAGAAACGTAATCGCAAACATGGCAACAAGGGGTCGCCCACGAGATGCTTCACCGAAGAGGAGGAACCCGCTGGCGAGATAATCCAACCTGAAGAAGGGTGGAACAATCCCTTCACAGAACATTACTACTACAAATGACGACTAGCAAGAGTGGCATCAGCCAATATAACTACGGGAAAGCCCACTCCACAATCACCAGCGCTTCGTTCCCGTGGGATGGAGAGAGGATGAATATTTTGAGAGAAGATGTAAGGCAACCCTTTTCACACCGTGGCTCACACTCCTCCTGCGCAAAAACAACGCCAACCACAATACCTGGTACCTGGACATCTGTTGCGGCCAACACATGGTGGGATCCGTTTGTTACATCTCAAACATCAGCCGTGCTCCCGCCACCTACGTCACTGTCGCCAACAATGAACAACTTTGCGCAAACGCATAGGGCATTGTCGTACTGCAAGCCCGTAATAGCAACACGCACATCACCTTCAATGACGTGCACTTCAATCTGCTGTCCGCGGCACAACTCTCTGACTGTGGAGTCATGCTCGCCATGGATCCCTACACACGCGACCTCATTCTCACCTATGCTCCCCCTGACACACCAGTCGAGTCGCGCAAGTACCTTGGGCGAGCACGGTCACTTAACGAAGTCTACGTATTTGACTTTGACATACCTGACTGCAAAGCATCATCATCCCAGCTATTGGATCTTGTCCCCCTGGATTTTCTTCGCATAAACATGGAATCATGGCAGCACTCGGATGGATGGCCCTGGATCTGCCGCAGTCCTCAACCTCGTGAGATAAATCTGCACGAACCTGGACCAGATGGACTTTGCATGACCTGCTTCACACCCACAGCAAGTCGCAAAGAGGAGGTCAAAAGAGATCTTGCGGCAATCCAAGAAGCAAAAAGCACCAAAGTAGAGCCGGAAGGCATGACAGCAATGGAGCTAGCAGTTCCCACTCATCGCATCTTCGGCACCGCAGACGAGAAGTTCGGGATGACGGAGCAGGAGCACCCAAAACTGACGGCGGGAACTCTAAGCTAGATCCTGGAAGAAGCCAAGATCAGAACATTTGACAAAGAAAATCGACCGCGCCCATACCCCCGCGACGTCTACCGCACCATCGACAAGGAATGGAAAGACCCCAATGCACCAAAGGAGCTTAGCGTCAAGGAGGAAGAAGAAATGGCGAAGGCTAAAAGGAAGGAGAAGCTGCATCAGGAACGCATCACGGCAGGCTGGGACGAGGAGCTGGCACGACGTTGTACATGGGGGGATGACGACGACACCGGAGCGACATGGGGATCTGCAAATGGCACATCTAGCACTGTTCGAGGATGGGGAACTGGCGGATGGGGTGATTCAGAAGAAAGGGGACTCCCGAAGGAGAACTAACCCAAGAATAAATTGAGGAATTAGAGAGAGAGAGAGAGAGAGAGAGAGAGAGAGAGAGAGAGAGAGAGAGAGAGAGAGAGAGAGAGAGAGAGAGAGAGAGAGAGAGATCACATGCTGCTGCCTGCAGACGTCGCCACGCCTCTCCACGCATGGCTATCGGAGTGCGAAGCGGCTTTACCAAAGGATGCACGGGAGATCCTGGAGAAGGAGCGGCTGGAGCGATCAGACATTAGGCTCCAGCACGCATTGGCACTGAGGGTACATGGAAGCAGATATGCCGTACAGGTCATGGAGACTCAACGGATGGCGCTGAACCCTCTGTGCGGACACACGCAGCGGATGTACTCACTCACTGGCTACGGGACCAGGGATTGGCTGACCGCTATCCCCATTGCGGCCAACAGGAGGATAGGGCCCACCCACTTCTCTAATGCCGTGCGTTTCCGGCTGGCCCTCCCCTTCTCCACACCAAAGAAGTGTGACTGCGCTGATCATACCGCCATCACGGACCCCCGCCTCCCTAACCACCTACTCCGCTGCGGCACGGGCAAGCATCGCATCAACACCCATAACGAGGTGCGTGATGCCTGCATTAGCATGGCCCAAGACGCGGGGTTCATTGTCCACAGCGAGTCATCGGCGCACTGCCCCATTGAGGAACAGACGGCAGATTTTACAATGACGGACAGAAGCAGTGGGGCAGTCTACGTATGCGACGTCACCATTACTGACCCTATTAGCACTAGGGATCCAGAGGCGCAGAAAGGCAGGGGCTGGGCGGCAAGGGAGCAAGCGGACAAGAAGATCCAGCACTACGCCACCCTGCCAGAGACAGTGAAGTTCTTCCCACTTGCGGTAGACACCTACGGCTGCCCCTGCGTAGAGATGCCAGTCTTCCTGAAGCTCTTGGCGGACACTGCAGCTCGGCGCCACTTCAACGCCGACTCCAAATCGTTCTATGCTGCAAAGTTCCTGCACCAGTTCAGGCAACGCTGGTCGGTGGCCCTGCAAAGAGCCCAATCTGTGGGTCTCCTGCTCAAGCTTGGAGAGGCTGCGGCAGTAGAAAACCGGCCTGTAGGGGGAATTGGGGACGAGTTGCACCTTGGGGACTGCTTTGCGGTCATTGAGCCCCTGGTGGAGTTGTAGATCTGCGGTGCTTGTACTTTGCATGCGTGTAACCTATGCCTCTATGACTTGCATGCTTGTACTTGCCGTCTATATCAATACAAGGACCATTAGAGAGAGAGAGAGAGATGGAGAGAGAGAGAGAGTGGGAGGGAGACCCACTCATTGCATGTGTGTACCTTTCTAGCTTATCAATATACGGACCATTAGAGAGAGAGAGAGAGAGAGAGAGAGAGAGAGAGAGAGAGAGAGAGAGAGAGAGAGAGAGAGAGAGAGAGAGAGAGAGAGAGAGAGAGAGAGGCACTAGGCCCTTTCCTTAGTCTCTCCAAGCTCTCTAGCTTAGCTTAGCCTTAGCATAGCATAGACTTAAGGCTTCCTTAGCCTCCGGTCCCTAGTGTATTCCCTGCAGCTTGCCTACAAGGAGTACATTAACACTTATAGCTTCCCCTACTGCCTCATTCCTGCCATTATTTTCTGGTGAGCTTGGTTCCTCCCAACCCAGCGGCTCGCGCCGGCCGCCTTCGGCGGCCGACGCTCGACAGCGCGGCCTTCGGCCGCGCATTAGGGGTGGCAAGGAAAAAGGGGAAGACGACAGTTACACACGGAGCAGTACAAGCATGCAAGCCTAAGCCCCGCCGACCTAGGCAAAGGTAAGTCGCAGCCAATGGGGATGGAGAAGCACACAAACAAAGCATCAACCAAGGCAACGCCTACATCCGCCTCACCCTCCGCCCAAGCCACCGGAGCAAACACGCGAGTGCGGGCACGATGCCAAGCGGGCACTCCTCAGCAGCCGTGGCTACCATGCGGAAAGCCGCTGCGCCAGGTCCGTCGTCCAACGAAGGGTCCCCGGGCTCAAGTGGCAGATGCAGGACATCCCACAGCGCGCTCTCCACTGCCCGTCGCACACGACTCTGCTGGTCTTCATTCATGTGCGGATCCCGCGCCACCACCTCCCGAGACAGAAGGGCGTCGTGCAGGAGGTCAAGCACGAACGAGAGCTCAGTCACGCAACGGCCAATCGACTGAAGATGCCGCCAACGAGACTCGTAATCCCCCGGTCCATAAGAAGGCGTCCCCCAAGGGGGGCTCGGGGGCGGAGCGCACGAGCCCCAGTTCCCCCCGTCCTGCTTCTGAGGCCACGAGAAGCAACCATCCCAATCAACCCCCGGGTCGCGAGGGGTGCCCGGCACCTCGTCGTCGCTCCAGTAGCCGCGGGCAATCCCAGGCACAGGCTGATGCTGCAGGAACAGGGGAAGGGAAAAAGGACGACAAACAGGGACACGGTGATTCACGGCGGGAAAGTACAGGGCAGGGCAAGACAGCATGCGGCGAGCCAGGGGAACACATCACGGGAGTGGACTCACAAATCCAAACCGAGCTCCAGGAGGACGAGACCCTGGCACGAGGGGATGCTGGCGCCGAGGGCCGCAGTAGGCGGGATCCGGGAAAGGGAGCCCGCGAGGGCCCGGAGGAGCGGAGTCCGTCACATCCAGCCGAGGGGGGTACGAACACGCATACGGCACAGCAGGGGTCGGCACGGACAAGGAAGGCACGGCTGGTTGAGGAGACGGCGGGAGAGGAGGCGGCTCAGAGCCTGGCACTGGGGCCGCAGACGGGAGAGGCGCCTGTTCGACCAACCGAGGAGCAGAACCGCCCAGGGAGGATGAAGAGACAGGGTGAGACGGTGGCGACTGAGGTGGCGCCTCAGGATCTGGATCAGGAAGAGATGGCCGCGACAGAGGAACAGGGGGCGCAGACTGCGCCGGAGCCTGCGCAACCGGTGGAGCCTGCTGCGACGAGGCGGAGTGCACCGGGGGAGGAGGTAGGTGCAACGGGGACGACTGAAAGGCGGGAGCGTGGTGCTGAGGCGGTCGGCGAGCCTGGCCTGACAACGGAGGGCGAGGAGGGCGGCGGCGACGGAAGGTTTGCCCGCGCGCGCGAAGGAATGGATGGGTGCGCCCGCGGGGGGATCGATACACAGGCTCCCGCGGCCGAACAGTCGCCAGTGGGGGCGCCGAGGGCGCGATGCCAACGCCCGCAGTTAGGCAGTCCGCGACGGCTCGGAACAGGGCTGGCACCTGCCCGCCCTGGGCCGCTGGTTGGATGGGAACAGCAGGAGGCCCCGCCGCCGCGATCACATCGCGCCGGGGGGGCCGACGCCGGCCTGCCATCAGGAACGGAACGCGCCGCGGGACAAGCGGCCGACGGAGCTGAAGGGGAGACGGCAGAGGTGGAGGGCGGGACGGCAGCCGTGGAGGAGGAGCAGGTGACCGCGATCGATAGGCGCCGAGGGGGAACCACACGTCAGAGGGTGCTGCGAGAACGGGCGGCGGAGTAGGCGGCAGGAAATCCGCCGTCGGGAACGAGAGGACAGCCGCCGGCAGGGGGGAGAGGACGCGGCGTACGGGGGGCGATCGGGCGGGCAGGCCGGGGGGGCCTGGCTGCAGCCGTGGCAAGAGAGAAGGCCAGATCTGGACCTTGGCGGGAAAGACATGGGAGGCCTGAGCGAGGACAGAGTGGAGCTCCAATGAATAACGACGAGGAACAAGGGGATGAGGATTATATGGAAGAAGAACAAGGGGACTCAGAGGATGTGTCAGTGGAGGATGAGCAGGGCATCCCGGCGGGAGGGACAAATCGTGGGGTAAGGAGTGGAGGAAACCAAGCTGATGCCAACGAGGGTGAGTCACGCGGCGCCCAACCCAACGAGACTGCCAGCAAGGCAAGATCACCAGCAGATATTGCTGATGACCCGGAGATCTGGCGCCAGGTGGAAGGGTGGGAGCTGGGCCCGATGTGTTGCAGTGCTCAACCCTTCCTGTTCCGGAAGCTGCCCCCCAAAATCCTGGGAGTTTACGCCTACTGCATGACGATCCCCCTGCTGCGACTCGCGAAGGTTCCAGGCTGCGCGGGAGCATGGCGAATCCTGCAATTCCTACCCAGGTTGACCCTCCGAGCCGAAGTTGAGAACGTTCCGAGAAACCGGTGGGCCGGGGTGGAAAAGAGACTCCAACAATTTCAAGAAGAAGAGTGGGAAGTGCTCTTCTCGGAAGCATGCATCATCCCCCCAAACCCTCAACCCAGCAGACACCACTTTATTGAGGGCACTAGGACTCCACTTTACATCATCCCCGATCACAACTTTCTCGCGCTCTACCTCACAACAGCACCTGCAGAAGGGGAGACAGCAGGAGAACTAGAAGCAGAGGAGCAAGAAGAAGGACTAGTACTCCTAATTCCTCACGAGACAGAAGCAGAGGCAGTAGAACATCATGCACGCACAAGAAGACCTCTGGCACCAACGACTCGGCCACCCCCCACGCAAGATGTTCAACAACAGCCTTTGCACCAAAGTTTTCCTGCCTGAAGCTCTACTCCGCCCTGATGGCACGTAACCACTCTGGACATCACACCCAGCCACATGCACGTCTGCCCCACAGCTGCCCTCACGCATGAAGCCTACCCCTTGCTGGAGCCAAGTACTAGTCGCTACAATAAGCTGCAGAAGGTCTACAGCGACTAAATTGTGCTCACCTTCAAAGGTATCAATAATGAGGACAACACCCTCATCTTCGTGGACGCATACTCCCGCTACGTCTAGATTGCCAACGTCGACGTCCGTTTCAAGGCACATGAGATCTTCCGCATCTTGCTCGCTCATGCGCAACAAGAATTAGGCAAGTTAAAAAAAAAATTGCAGATCGACGAAGCAAGGGAATTTCGCAGCAACGAACTGGAAAGACTTTTCGCGGAGAAGGGGATCAAGCACCACCAGCAGCAAGGTGTCGCTGAAAGGGTCAACCGCACCCTCATGGCGAAAGTCCGCACCCTCATGAACCAGTCCGGCTTGCCCAAGAAGTATTGGCCATATGCCATGAACCACACTGTTTGCATGCACAACCTCCTCCATAGCCAATAGGCGTAACCTCTCTCCGCAGATGAAGTGGACCAGTCCAAGGGGAGATACCTCCATGCTAAGGGTTTGGGGGTATGTGGTACAGTACCGGCCGACTTCCACATCGGCAAGTTCACCCAACGCGCACGATGGGGAATTCATTTGGGGCTCGGCCACGAGTACAAGGGCTGGCTGGTTCTAGACATTGACACCAACAGGATCGTACCTGCGCGCGACATTCTCTTCTACCAGCGACTCACCCTGCAGCAGTGGATCGAGGACCAGCGCAGCAACATCACACGCGCCTACGCCAACAACGGCCACATCTTCGCATCACTGGAGGACGAGGCAGCAGTAGAAGCACTCGACTGCCACCCTGCCGATGAACATCCCGGCGTACCTTCCCACCCGCACGACGACGACGACGACGATGATGACAGTGATGACAGCAATGACACCCCCGCGCCAGGACCGTCACGTCGCAATGCTCCGCAAAACAGCTCCTCACCCGCATACGACAGCGACAATGACGACGTGGTGGAATTCAATGCTCAGGAGACCGAAGGGACCTCCAATGTCACAGGCCTGCAGCTTCTCGACCTGCATACGGCCGTTATTACAATCGCACTATCATCGAGCCCAAGAACCCGCGATGTCAGAGGTCCACTGTGGATCCCCGATTGATCCTAGGGAAGGGTTACAGGCACGTTGGCCTCGAAGGTTATGGGCGCAGAAACCTGCTCTACAAACAAGCAATTTTATCCCAATGGTCTAGTGTTGGGGTTCTGACATGGTATCAGAGCGAAGGTCTCGGGTCCGAATCTCTGTGTGTACAATTCGGGCATCCCAGTGCGTGGGGGTGTCAAAGGTCCAGTGGAGATCCCCGATTGATCCTAAGGAAGGGTTATAGGCATGTTGGCCTGGGGGGTTATGGGCGCACTGACCCGCTACTTAACATGCCCTTTTATCCCAATGGTCTAGTGGTTGGGATTCTGACACCCGACAGGCCCTAACCGGCCTTCATGCCAAGGAGTGGTGTGCGGCTATGGATACGAAGCTTATGGCGTTAAAATCACGCGACACGTGGGTACTAGTCGATCGTGCCGCAGTGAAGGGGAGGGGGGTGCTAAGCGGCAAATGGGTCTTCGGCCTTAAAACTGCCGTCGACGGAACTATCAAGCGCTTCAAGACACGTTGGGTCGTCCGCGGCTACGACCAGCGCCACGGCATCGATTTCGACCAAACCTTCGCCCCTGTCAGTCGCCATTCCTCTGTGCGGATCCTACTCGCCATCGTTGCCGCTATGCATCTACCACTACGGCAAATCGATGTCAAAAACATGTTTCCATACGCATTGGTGGATGTGGCCAAATTTGTGGAGCAGCCACACACCTACGAGGAAGGAGTTCCCATGGTCTGCTAGTTGAAGAAATGCTTTTACGGGATAAAATAGGCGCCGCGTCTCTCTGGCAACAGCACTTGCACGAAATTCTTCTGGAAATCAGTTTCCGGCAGCTGCCACAGGATCTGGAAATGTACCGCCTTTAAGACAACGGCAATTACATCCTCGTGACAGTTTACCTCGACAACCTACTGTACACCAGGACCTGCAACAAGCTCCTCAATCAGTTTGAGGAAAACCTGGCGCAGCGCGTTGACATCACCATCAACCATAACGCCACGCAGTTCTTGGGGTTGAACATCTCCTACGAGCCAGGAGTAATTCATCTGTCAGCCACCAAATATGCAGAAAAACTAGGAGAACGCTTCAAAATTTTGCCAGCACCACTCTCAACTCCTTACCGCTCTTCGAGGACCAACTACAAACCAAACAATAAACCTCTATCACCTGCACGACTCAAACTGTACCAGCAGCAACTGGGGGGGCCTTGCTATTTGCCTCTGTCACCTGCCGACCCGACCATTCGTACATCGCCAGCTAATTGGCACAGTACTCTCGCAAACCAGTAGCTAAGAACTAGCTGGACTTGGAGCGCGTCCTGTAGTACTTCATCTCCACACCTAACATCGGGCTCTCCAATTCCACGCTGACGACAACTTTCTACAACCTTACCGGCTGCGTGGACGCCGATCATGCCGCTGACTCTGCGAATCAATGATCACGAACCGGCTTTGTATTCCGCCTGAAGCCAACGGGACCAATCTCCTGGAACTCGCAGAAGCAAGAGCTGGTTGCCCTGTCATCGGTGGAAGCACAGTACATCACCGCGACAACCGCACTTCGCAAAGGCCTTTACTTGCAAGAATTGCTTCAGGAGGCAAAAATTCAAACTTCGCCTACATTTTGCCTTCACTGCGACAACCAGAGCGCCATCAAGATCGCGAATAAGCCAGGATTTGTCAACCGCACGAAGCACATCGCGCTTCGATACTTCTTCGTCAACGACGAAATTGACCAGGGCAAAGTTGATCTCACGTACCGGCCCACTACCGAGATGGCAGCTAACTTTCTCACCAAGCGACTGCCACGTCAGCAGTATCGTCACCCCCCGGATAAGCCCTTATGAGGGGGGTATGATAAAACATGGTTTTTTAGGGGGGGTGGGCTTATAATTGAGTAAATTTATAAGCGTCAGGGCTTATATTATGACATATACGAGATTTACTGTTTTGGGCATCAAATTGGTTATCTCGTTCTTGAGATTTGAATTGAGTTAAAATTAGTGAGGGCTGTGAATAAGAATATCGTGTAAGTTGGCAGGGATAGATTTTGTGCCATTACACAGAGTTAGAGTGAGTCATGTTTCCCCCATGACAGGTCATTCTGACTAGACGCGCATGAAATGAGTCGCGCGAGGGGGAAGGCCATCAAAATTCGGGACGCAAAGTGTGTGTTTCGTTACAGATGTTTCATTAAAAAAAAAAACAAATAAAGGCGCTTACACTTTATAAGCCATCAAGGGTGCGCTTATAATCGAGGAACGGATATAAGCTCCATATGCCAATCATAAGCGCGTGGCGCTTATCCTAGGGTGACGCTTATATCCGGGGGGTGACGGTACATGCATTGCTCCGACCTCACAAGAGTAGTCAAGCGAGCCTGCGCTCTGCGCGTTTAGGAATAAAGGGGAGTGTTACAATATGAAATTCAATGAGAAGGCATTCTTGTATGCTGCAGGATCCGGATCTACCGAGTACGAAGTTGAGGAGTCAAAAGAGTCGAAGGGAGACTAGCAATCGTGTGACCAAGAACGAGGCAGAAGCATTTGAAATGAAAAGAGGAGGAACAGGTTTGAAACCGTTTCCCGCGCCGCA